GCAAATAGATCGACAGATGATACTGTTAATATGGCTCTGCATTACATCCTACAACACCTTGAATCTTTAAAACCTACACAAGGGTCCTCTTTGTAGACTTCAGTTCAGCATTCAATACCATCATTCCAGACATTCTTCTAACTAAATTAAACCAATTAGCGGTACTTGAACACACTTGTAAGTGGATCATAAGCTTTCTAACTGACAGGAAGCAGCAGGTGAAGCTAGGCAGAATCACATCTGATACCTGTACAATTAGCACAGGGCCCCCCCCCAGGACTGTGTGCTTTCTCCACTTCTCTTCTCCCTATATACCAATGACTGCATCTCAAATGATCCATAGTGAAGTTTGAAGATGACACAACAGTGATTGATCTCATTCAAGACAATGATGAATCCGCATACAGACAGGAGGTTGTACAACTTGCCTTGTGGTGTAACAATCTGGAACTGAACACACTCAAAAACGGTAGAAATGGTGGTAGACTTTAGAAGAAACCTCCCATACTACCACCTCTTACAATACTAGACAACACAGTATCAACAGTAGAGACCTTCAAATTTCTAGGTTCTATTATATCACATGACCTAAAATGGACACCTAACATCAAAAATGTCATCAAAAAAGCACAACAAAGAATGTTCCTTCTACGCCAACTCACAAAGCTCAAACTGCCCAAGGAACTGCTGATACAGTTCTACAGAGGAATCATTTAGTCTTTCATCTGCACCTCTATAACTGTCTGGTTTGGTTCTGCAACCCAAAAGGACAGACATAGACTTCAGAGGATAATTCAGAGGACTGCAGAAAAAACAATTACTACCAACCTGCTTTCAGTCAAGGACCTGTATACAGCACGAGTCAAAAAGAAGGCTGTGAAAATATTGACAGACCCCTCACATCCCGGACACAAACTGTTTCAACTCCTTCCCTCAAAATGATGCAATAGAGTACTGCACACCAGAACAACTAGACACTAGGACAGTTTTTTCCTGAAAGCCATCACTCTGCTAAACAAATAATTCCCTCAACATTGTCCAACTATTTACAAAGTCTGCACTACTATTACTATTAATCTTCTCATCACTCCTTATCACCCATCCCCTCCCACTTGTAACTGTATGACTGTAACTTTGTCACTTGCATCCTTATGATTTATATTGACTGCTTCCTAGTATGATTCGATTGCTTATTGTACCCTATGACTATCATTAAGTGTTGTACCTTATGATTCTTGACTCTTGACAAATGTATCTTTTCTTTTATGTATACTGAGAGTATTTGCACCAAGACAAATTCCTTGTGTGTCCAATCACACTTGGCCAATAAAGAATTCTATTCTATTCTATTCTATTCTATTCTATTCTATTCTATTCTATTCTATTCTATTCTATTCTATTCTATTCTTATAGATGCTATAAAAATAACAAACATTTAATTCAGAGGAAATTATTATTTTAGGTAGCAAAAAAAGCCATAAGAATTCTGGTAGCATCTTCTCTGACCAAAAAAAGATAAGCTTGTATTACAGACAAGCTTTTATGATCTACTGCATACATCTGATGAAGTATGCTGGTAAATGTTTTTGGTAACATTTATTAACCTAAAAGGTACAACCAAATGCATTCTGAATTAACTCAGGCAATTAGAGATAGTTCTTGTTTAGCAACTGCCTTATTGAGCAACATGATAGCAGTGTTCCAATATCTCAGGGGCTGCCACAAAGAAGAGGGAGCCAGGCTATTATCCAAAGCACCTGAGGGTAGGACAAGAAGCAATCCATGGAAACTGATCGGAAATTTCCTGACAGAACAATTAATCAGTGGAACTTGCCTCCAAAAGTTGTAAATGCTCCAACACTGGAAGTTTTTAAGAAGAGATTGGATAACCATTTGTCTGAAATGGTATAGGGTTTCCAGCCTAAGCTGGGGGTTGGACTAGAAGATCTCCAAGGTCCCTTCCATCTCTGTTATTCTATTCTATTCTATTCTATTCTGTATAGTTCTGTTTGCCGTTATGATGATGATGGAAAACTAACTTGGTGACCAATTCTTCCATGTGAGACCTTCATAGTTTGGTAAAGGTAAGGAAAGCTCAAGTAAGATTATAAGCACAGTTGTGATTTTATTTAGCAATCGCTTCGCTGAATGACCAGGTTGATAGTTCCAATTGTAGCTAATAAACAAATATGACATATAAATGAAATTAAAAATATAATAGTTACTCCATAAAAATAACTGAAAAGAATTATTGCTGAGAAAATGTGAGAAAATATAACATACCAAATATGTTCAAAAATATTTACTTAGAACTGAGGCATAAATTTCCTAGTCCAAAATTGTTCTAACTTTACTTGTAAGAAAAGTTTTGTCTAAATGAACAAGAGATAGAGCATCAAAAGGCATGTATGCCTTTCCGAACATAGAATTCAACAGCTACCCCAAGCCAAAACAGGTGTTATTTTTCACTAGTGCTGCACATAATGGCACCAGATGCTTAAGCTGTTTTTCAACCCTCATAATCTGTGTGGCATTTGAGATTCTTGGAGGCATTCTGCTTGTGATGCAGTCCCTGGATAATTATCTAGGCTTTATTACTGAAACAATCATCTTTTCAGTTATTAGTACCCATAATTCTTTTGCATATCAAAACCATCAAACATTATCTACATATACTATATGTACTAATTACTTATTATACTAATTACTTTGCATTCCAGAGATCAACCAGATGTACCACAGTGCTGTCTCATAGGCCCAAGGAAATTTTTCCCAACCACCTGCTCAGAACCAAGTGAATTTTTATCCTCCCTATAAAAATCAGTGATAAGCATAAGTCTAAAATTGACCGGATAATTGTTTTGTCAGTGACAATGGATTGATGTTAATGTTGTCTGCATACAGATCACAAATAATTGTTCTGCGGTGAAAATCAGACTTAGCATATAGTTTCTCACATGAGTTGGTATCATGACAAGCCCAAAACTATTATGGCAGGAATATATTTGAAAGCTTCTACTTATCTCCTCTCTTCAAGGCACAACACCAGAGGTGGTATTCAGCAGGTTCTGACCAATTCTGGAGAACTGGTAGTGGAAATTTTGAGTGATTCAGAGAACTGGCAAATACCACCTCTGTCTGGCCCCACCCCCATCTATTCTCTGCCTCCCAATCCCAGCTGGGTCTTCTTTTGTTGCCCTGAGCAGGAGAACAGAACTGGAAAGCAGGTTAGTGGGGTGGGGAGGGAATGGGATTTTGCAGTAATCTTCCCCTGGAGTGGGGTGGAAATTGAAATTTTACAGTATCCTTCTCCTGCCATGCCCACCACGCCATGCCCACCAAGCCACGCCCACAGAACCGGTAGTAAAAAAAATTGAATCCCACCACTGCACAACACTAAAATATCCCAGTACACAGAGGTTTGGGGAATATTCCCAGGCAAGGTCAAAGAACTCAGCTAGGAAGTTGATTGAGCCAACAATGGGGTAGGAACTCACACTTGATCCAAACACTCAATTTCACACAACCTCACAAGATTACATCAAATAGATACATTTGCAGCTCTGTTTTTGAATGTTTATGTATACTAAAAAAAAGCATTGCAGAAGAAATTAGATATTGCAAACTGTTTCAGATCTGCTCTTAGAAGATGTGTCAGAGAAAAAGAGAAGTTGATTCCTAGCTCCAGATCCAAAGTTAACTAGGGGATGCACAAAATAGCGTATTAAGTCAGTTTATAATTAAAAGTAGTTATTTTCACCATACCATCTAAACTCTGCCATCTGGTTTAGCATCTTGTGGAAAAACAGCTGTCCTTTTAACTTGCTTGCTTCACTGATTCTGTCAACATATATTATGCATGTTCCCCTGTGACTTTAGTTTAAATTTTTATATACAGATTTTAAAAGTGTTGCAAAGCTACCATGGGAAAAGGAGAAACTGCAGCCTCTCCTTGACATTAGGATTTGGAAAAAAATTATAAGGGGAAATATTAAGTTTTATGTGACAGAGACTAACAACAAATGTTCAGGCTAAAGACTACATTTCCTAAATTGGGAAATTGAAAAAGCATAACAGAAGACAGTATACTGCACCACCAGCTTCAGGATTGTAACATGTACTGATGTGTGGTGAGCATATTTAATTGGGAAAAATAAAAGACAAACTTTTAAAAGGGGGTAAATTTGTAGGGTAAAATAATATTTTCCTGGTCATATTTGCTTTACAAAGGAAAATTCAAGAGCAAAACCAAGAAAATAAATAAATAAATGGAAAGGACAGCTTTCTGAAATAAAAGAGTGTGTGTGTGTGTGTTGTAGGTAGAAATAAAGTGCTAACACACTCTAGTATTTGAAGCATGAATATACAGCCTTCCAAATGTCTTTGAATTACAGCAGAATCTTCCTTTGTCAGTGCTTGATTAAGGATGATGGGAATTGGAGTCCCAAAACATTTGGAGGACCACTCAGGATATTTTTGTACTGCAGTTGAATTGGTAAAAGAGATGTCTTCATTCCCTGTTTATGAAAACACTGGAGTAAAACTTTAAAATATTTCCTTTTTATATATTTGATTTAAAAACTCTCTAAGCTGAGCAGTGTTAAATATATTCAGAAAAGGACCTAAGTTGGATATTTTCTAAGAAGGTACATGAAATCTTTATTGATGTCGTTCCTTATGTGGCTTTTACCGCAATTACATTTCATGTATCGGTAGTAGAAAAAAAACATGGCCATTTTTCATGATTTGGTCCCCCCTTCCCGCCCGCCCCCACCGCTCCTTTTTAAAGCTTAGGATGCAAATGTCACATCTGCTTCAGAGGAGACGCCTTAATCTGGGACATATAGATTATGCAATGTTTCCATGGCAACCGTTGGGGGGAAATTTAGCTCTCTGCAGTTTCCACAGAAACTGTTCCCTGCAGAGACAGGTGCCTTGGAGGGAAGGGAAATGAAAGGGATCACGTGGTCGCTGCAGCCCGGAGAGGGGGGGAGCGTTTGTAATGCGTGCTGTTTTCCATGCAGGGACCGGGGTTTGTGGTTCTTTGCCTGGGCCTTCGTGGAGGCGCTGTGGTTGGGGAAAGCCACATTCCGGCAGACATCTGATCTCGATCACGCCAGCTGTTAATTTGCAGCAGTTTAAGAATAATTTTTACATGGAGACATTCTATCGGTAAACGAAAGCGCCTTGTTTTACGCTTTTTATTTTTTTTTATTTTATATTTTTTCCTAAAGAGCCAGCAAGTGAGAAAGAAAGGATGATTCGGGATAGGAGATTCTTCTCTTTTGGTGGCTCTTTTGCATCCATGAATTAAAATGCATGTTTAGGAATCCCATTCATGTAGTCGGGGGTGGGGGTGGGGGAGGAATTATTTGTGAATGTTCTTGTTCTCGATTAATATAATGCTTAATTTTTTTAACGTTTCCATTCAGTCGTTTGGAAGACGCAATAGCATTACGCTTTTATTTAAATAAGGAAGGATTGTGGTTTCACTTGGTTTCATCAGAGAGGCAAAACATAGCATTTCACTAAAGGCGTAATGCTGACAGATTAATGCACTGGCTATATATATATGTATATATTTTTCCCCTGCCTCCTTTCCTCCATCCTTTTTATGGAGAAAACATCCTACCCTGGTTGTTAACCCTGACAGCTGTTTGGTGAGCGCAAAGGAAAAAACAGCAGGTAGAGAAAAGAGGAAGGATGGAAGCCCGTAGGAGTGAGTGGTTTTCAGAGGGCGACCTCCTTTTTTCCCCTGGCCTTGGGCTTATATAAAAAGTGGCTTCAAAAGACCTTTTCTCCCTTTTGTTGTTATTATTAATCTCTGGATCAGTGCACAGATCACGCAAAACAATTGCAAATGTAAGTAAGTGTTTGTGGTTTCCTTGCTGATTTTTAGACTGTTAGTTAAGGGTAGTATTTTGGTTTGGATTCTTTCCCCACCCTATAATGTAACTAAAGTGTTCTTGTTGAAAAAGCAGTGGCATGAAAGGCGAAGACGAAAGCAGTTTTCTTAAAAGGAAGTACTGACCCGTCTTTCAATGGAATGATTTGTGATGCGGAAAATTTTGGGAGCTCTGCAGAAGAAGTAGTGATGTGCCGCATTAATAGAAAGCAGATTTGTTGACAGAGGTGGAATGAGGAACTGGAGTCTTTTTTTTTTTTTTTGAGAAACCTGTAAGCAATTACTTATTCCATTGAGCAGGAATCTGTTAATCTAGTTGCCTGGTTTTAAAAAAACGAAAATGATTCAGAAGCGTTGCTGAGAAATTCTGCAAGATTTTGTGAAAAAGCTGCAATAAATGGGCATTTATAAGGGATTGTTAAACCTGCATGAGAAATGAAAAGAACAATGCCAGAAGGATGGTGAGCAGCACTTTTGTTTTTATAATGAATCCTTTTGTAGTTTTATAAAGGGAGGAGGATCTTTCAGTGCCTCCCAAGCTTGAATGCTTAATACTAATGGTGCTTGGGAAACAGAAAAGTTGTTTTTTCTCAGTGATTTAGGCATGTGGTTTAATGGTAAGAATTTTAACCTTTTCCTAGGGATACATTTATTTATTACAAACTAGTATCAAAGATGGATTTCTGGCATATTTAATATATATGCATCCACAGTTTCATACTTGTACAATGACAATAAAGTTCTTCTAATTCTAAAACTCTTTCTGCTGGTTTGCTGACCTTTGCTTTTGTAATATACAGCTATGTCAATCTGTGATTTTAAAATATAGAGCTTTCAATATTTCATTATATTACAAACAAAGCTTATATGGTTGAAGTAATTCTTGTGTTAAATATATGTGTATTTGAAAATTATGCTTGGAATTCTTATACTTTCCTGTATGAAAATTGAAAAGAACGATACTAGAACAATGGTGAACAGTTTGCTCTAGTTTTATATCTTGTTTATTTTAGGAATGTGTTATTTGCTGAACATCCATCCACTGCATCCTGTTTCTTAGCTATGTATGATACAATTTTTACATGGTTATTAAAAGATGGATGCATGAGATGACAAGAAAGCAATGATGTCACAGTTTGAATGATGAAGTGAAATGTGCGGTGTAAATTTGAAAATATGCTATAGACAACAATTCAAAGTTATGGCAGCGCTGAAAAAAAGGACATATACCAGTCCCAATATTATGGCCACTGCAGCATCTCCTACGGTCAGAATCTCTGCAGTCTCTTTGGATTATAACATCACAGCAAGATGTGTCATGTGATCATTTCAAACCTTGCCTGCCAGCCTCCCATAAGCAAGGTCAATGGGAAACTGGCAGGGAGGTTTTCAGGTTGCTTTTTCTCCCAAGGGGCATATCCTTCTGAGGTCGGTAAAAGGAGAACCCAAAATTGTTGTGGGCAACATGCTGACTCTGTAAACTGCTTAGAGAGGCCTGTAAACCATTGTGAGGCAGTATATAAGTGCTGTTCCTATTTGTGTTATTTTGTGCCTTAAATTTGAATATCCTACTCTTTTTTTATTCTGTTATATACAATAAACATAGTATTGCTTAGCCTGAAAGTATTTATGTGCTGTACATATACAGGTAGTCCTAGAACCGGAGTGTCAAACTCATGTCACGGCTGCATCACATGACATATTGGGACTTTTTCCCCTTCACTAAACTGGGCATGAGCATGGTCAGCACATGATGCATCTGGCCTGTGGGTGGGGTGTTTGACAGCCCCGGACTAGAAGTAAAAACGGTGCTGAAAAAAGGGACCATCACATCATCCCTACAATCACGTGATCAAAATTCCACCAGTTTGTCAACCAGTATGTATTTATGATACTTGCAACGTTCTGAGGTCACATGATTGACATTTGTGATCTTCCTAAAGGACTTCTGACAAATCAGTGGGGGAGAGTTGGATTCATTTAATGACAATGTGTTTCGCTTAATGACCACGGCTAAAAACATTGTAAAATGTATTCATATAATAGCATTGCTATTATAGCAACAGAAAGTATGATTCCCATTATTGTGGTCAAAAGTCATGATCTACCTGTATGTACATGAAGTTTCTATAATTGTCTAAACTCAATTCCCCTCAATATGGGGAATTTATATCTGGTGGTCCATACAATTATAGCTTCCTAAATCCAAAGGACAATTTGATTTGGAATAAAAAGGCAAATGTTGAGGATTCCAAGGCATCCTTTGCCAATTCAGTTTTGGCTATGCTGGCCAAGAGTTCTGGCCATTATCATCCTAACACATTTGGACTTTACCAGGATGCATTATTTTTTCCACTTCACCGGGTTGAAAAAGAAACTTTTTTTATATTTAAAAAAATCTGTTTTGAGAATGTATCATCAAAATTGCATAAATGCCTGGAATTACATATGCTATATTATAAACTTTAGAATCTGACATGATTGGGTTCATGCTAAGTCTGAATCATTCTAACTGTATTTAGGTCTTATTCAAAGGGATTCCGGTAAATAGTAGCCATTCTTCTTTCTGTAGATAACAATAGCAGGAAGAGATAAAAAATGTGTGTAGTGACAAAGAAAAAAAGGCTAACCTTGTCTCTTCTATGTAGTTGCAGTTGAGATAATTTGTATTCACAATTTGTTGTATTTAGTAAGATTGAAAAAAAAATGGCAAGTTTGTTAGAAAGTCCTGTATATATGATTTTTCAGTTTGTTTTTCAGTGGATTTTGCAATTAGTTGCAGTTTTGTTGCATTGTGCCCAAAGCACGCATCTAAATTAATTCTCATTATGTTAATTACAAATATCCAATGCTGCAGTAATAGAAGTTCAACTGAGCAAGAATTAAAAACAAAACCAGATGTCATGTGGATGGCACCAGAATCTTCCCATGACATTTTACAAAAATCTTCCCTGAAAGATTGTATTGTTGTTGCTAACAATTGCTGGTCCTTAGGCAGGCTGAGCAATGGTACTTTTGAGTAGAACAGAGCCAAGTGGAGCCTCTCCCTGCCCTGACAGTATTGCTGCTCCCCCCTTCCATGAACGCAACAAGCTGCCATCAAATGGAGCACTCACCCACAGACAGAATGGAAACCAAAACTATAGCGTTGGCATTCATTGTGTTTGCAAAATAGCCTTTCAGAAAGCAAGTAATACATTCCGACAGAAGTTAGGGCAATGGAAAAGTTGCCTCAGAACATATTCAGGCAGTTCAAAAAAAGTATGAGTTCCTTGTATATGCTGCTGATACATAATTACAGTTTAATTGCTAGTGGTGTTATGTCAATTTCCCAAACAAGTCAAAATTGTTAGAATTGTATCTACTTGTTCACCATATCTAATCTGGTACCCAGAAGCCTGATGAAATATGTGAATGTCAATCATGTCATCTAATTATTTCCCCAGAAACTCTGACTGGTTTGAGGAATGTGTGATTTGTAAAGTCACAGTTATGAAACAGTCATTCATTCTATCTTAGGAAGTAAAGGAAAGCTAAAATGGTCATGGTTTTACTTCGCAACAGTTTCATTTAATGACTGAGTTGCCAATCCCAACTGTGGTTGATAAACATGGACTACTGGCCTTAGGAATTGATATTCAACCTATAGTCTATATATTTTGGACCATAAATCTTAGCCATCTTATTTAGGGGTAGCAGTATGCAAAATATTGAGAATTCAATCTGGTTTGCATACAATTAGGGGAATAAGTGGGCTTTCTCAGTCTTCCATTATCTTTTAAGAATAATATACCATATTTTAATCAGAAATTAACCAAAGAAGCTGATCGTTGGCTGGAACTGCCCCATAATACACTGTTAATAATTACAAAGACTATTGAAATCATTTTCAAAATGAACTTGAAGCACTGATTTGAGTTTGAAATGCTTCCAGGCTTACAGAGATAGCCAGTCCCAAATGTGAAACCAAACCATTTCAACTTTGAAATGTTTTACAGAATTCCCTGAATGCTTCCCTGATAATTTTTCCTATTTTTCTTGGAGGATTCCTCTAGCTCAAGGGTGAGCAACTTGGGCCCTTTTATGACCTGTGAACTTCCATCTCCCAGAATTCCTGAGCCAGCATGTTCCTAAAGGGGCCATAATTACTCACCCCTTCTGTAGTGGAAGGCTAGTCTGAGAAACAGTGGCCAAAGTCACAGCATGGCATTTGTTACCAAGGTTTTGGCAATTTAAAGCTGTAATCTAAAATGCTCTGGTAATTTTC